TAACTTTTAAATAAGGTTTAGGAGAACCTGTAACACTTTGCTCACTGACAGAGCTATATTTTAGGAAGGGCAGAAATTGGCTAGTCTATAAAAATTAAATTATGCCCCTTTCACTGTATCTAGTCAAGAGGAAAAACTCTAATTACAAGATTGCACTGTCAAACAAATGCAAATTCGTATTCTTTATATCCTGGTTTAAAAATTCATACTGGAAGGTTGGGGGGAGGCCCCTCTTCTGAAATGAAAATCAATATTTGAAATATTTTTATGGAATGCCATGATAAATAAGCAAAACAAATGTGATTCTCAAGGACGCCACATAGAAACACCAGCCCATGAAGAGCAGAGCTGGTAGGGGAGTCATTAGTCATGCAAACATTTAACCATCAATTAGGAAGGACAAGGAAACTTCTCTTCCCTGTAACCCACACTTTATTATTCCAGAAATGATCAAGGGGTAGAGAGCACCCAGAGATAACCTCAGATCCTAATAGAAGCACCTCTCTAGATGACAGGCAAAGGTTAATTTTAAGTATACCTCCATGGAAATTAAATTACCTTCCTCAAAATTCCTAGGAGCTGGCTTTGCAGACCTAAGTCAGAGAAGAAAACTGAAGGCCTGGGCATAATATATTGCTGGTATTGGGGGATGGAGCAGGCAAGGAGACTGTCTTTCATTACTGTTTAATGTCAAGTTAGGTTAGTTCATTAGTCTGTTTAAAGCCTTGGTATTTCTACAGCTGTTGAAAAATGCCAGTCCACTCGATACTCAAACTTTCTGATTCTTTCAATATCCACTTTGTGGTCTATCCACTTGGCCTGCCAGATGAACTTGACAGACATAAAAAAATAATCCCTCAGTCCTTAGAATTTTGCCCGTGGGGGTATGTGGTGTCATATTTCCCTCTGTCAGAGGCTGGCTGGTGGCATCACAGCAAATGCGTTTGGCCAGGGAGGAAGAACTTGTGAAGGGCCATATAGTGACAATGGACTGGTGGACTAGGGCCGGGCACATAACTTTGTAAAGATCTTCATTTGTTTCTTTATAAGATAGAAAGGGTAGTTCAAATCAGTAGCTCAACATGGGGCATGCCAGAGTCTCTCCAAGAGCTTAGAAATGACCCATGGCCACACAGACACACACAGAAGAGCATCTTCAAGGGGAAGGGACGGTCAGGTAAAGTTCAAAGGAACTTCAGGAAAACACCTACATTACATGCTCTTAGGATAGAATTCCTGGGCCTTTTCAGCTCTGCTGCACCAAGAGTCTCACCTCCGTCTACGTCCTGAAACAATTCGGATTTTGATTCCTAATGGGACCACTTACCAGGCGCTGCTAGCTTTCTGGAGGTTGAAGTTGACAAAGCAATAGAATCACAGGCCAGCTGGTTGAAGTTCAGTCATTATGAAGAGATCTCACATAATGAAGAGTCTCACATTTCAGGAGACACCACAGGCTAGTGCTAAGGGATGAGCCAGATACACAGTACATACAATGAAAGTTAGCCCATGCTGCCACGGTTTTATTATATTGTGGTCACTTAGCAACCAAAGTTGCTCTCGATCCTTGTTGGCAAAAGAATAAAGAAAAAAGAATCGAACTGACTGGTCTATAACAATTACATGAAATTTAATATGGAATGCCTTCAAGATATCAGTCCCAAAACATTGCTTTCTATTGAGGGAAAAACTAAGTAAATAAAAAGTAAACAACTACCACCAACGGAAACAATAACCACATTTGCCAGGCTTCCGAGGAATTCCTGCTCAGAATGCCTTGCATTTATTTACAACCAGTATGCATCCCTGTAATGGTTAGTGTCAACTTGACAGAATCTAGAATCATCCAGCAGACAGGGCCTCTGGGTATGGCTGTGGGGGGTTGCCTGCATGTTACTTTACATGGCAAGACTCACAGTAGTCATTAAGCATCCCTGACTGTTCCTGGACTGTCGTAATGGAGAAGGACAGTGAACACTAGAGCATGCATTACTCTGTTCCTGGGTGTGTGTGATACGACCAGTTCCCTCAAGCTCTTGCTGCTGTGACTATGACAGACTGGATGGTGCCTTGAACTGTGAGTTAAATACAAAGTCCACCTTAAGTTTCTTTTGTCGGTCTACTCTGTTACAGCAACAGGAAACAAATGAGCAAAAACTAAGATCTCCCCATAACTGGTTTTCCCGTCGGATTCATTAAGTGTTGCTGTGTCTTTACTAAAGCTGGGAACACTGGGAATGCTGGAGATTAGTGAGCAAGAGTGCTTGCTGCATAAACATCAAGACCTGAGTTCAGATCCCACCATCCATGTTTAAAAAATCAAAAAAAGTTAGGTGTGGCCATGTATGCCAACAACCCCACGGCTATGGGGGAATGAGACAAGAGAACCACTAAGGCTTGCTGGTTGCCGGAGTAGCTCCACAATCAGTGAGAAACCTTGTCTTAAGGGAAAAAGTGGAGGGTGATAAAGGTGGATGTCTTCCTGGCTACCACTTGCTCCTGCATGACTGTGTGTATATCCATAGGAAACACACGCCTATAGAGTACACACACACATATATGCCACACACACTCTCAGAAACACACACACACACACACACACACATACACACACACACTGCTTTGAGCTTCATTTATCTTCACATTTAGACCTCTGGCCTATGTCCTATACCCTGTGGTCACTGACACCTTGTTTGGAGACAAGAAGCAACTTGACTGTGTCACTAGAAAACAAGCAGCCTAAACCAGGGACTTCCTTCAGGACGAACTGAAAACATTCTGTGGGTAATACGGAAGTTATAGGGTGCATCCTGCTTTTCTATAGTATGGTTTGCAGAAGAGGAAGAAGCAAGATGAACACTAGCACTTGGATGGGAGTGTGTGACTGTCATCTCAGAGGTATACAGGGACCGGGGTGTTTCTCAGAAGTACCAGTTTGTGAAGCACAAGCCCCAGTAAGCAATGGCCTTGAGGATTCTGAGGAAGTTCTTAACCATGCTAACACCTCCCATCATGTCTGCCTCAAACATATTTCATGGAAGAGGGCTTCAGATACACGAAGAGCAAGAAATGTTTGGCTCAGGTAAAACACAGTGCAAAGAAAATCACTCATAAAAATTAATTCCCATCTATCTTAGCTGCAGAATCATCATTAATTTTTTTGTGTTGTCCTACTGTTTTTAATAGCAGGAATACCAGATGCTAAAATAATGCATGTTTTTTGGGGGGGGCAGGGGGTACATTATTCTTGAGAGTGGTTGTATCTTAGACTTCCCACAAGAGCGATTTTAGTACAAAGGACCCACACTCAAGCCAATAATGCACTACAAAGAACAGCCTATGAAGACATACACAAAGGGCTTCAGGAAATGGCTCAGCAGACTAAAGTTCAGATCCCAAGCACACATGTAAATGTCAGCAGGGCAACTGGGTTGCCTGCTTGTAACCCCAGCTCTTGGAGACAGAGATCTGGGACCTTTGGAACAAGTTGTCTTGTTAGAATTGGTGAGCTCTGGGTTCAAGTAAAAGACTCTGCCTCAATATATAAGATGGAGCACAAGGAAGACAAGGATATCAAGCTCTTGTGTCCACGCATGCCAATATATATCTACATAGGTGTGAATACCACATACACATAACATGCCAAAAAAAGTGTGTATGTAACTACATGTACTCATGCGCCAACACATGTGAATGTCTATGCACATATACATGATTACCACACACACATACACAAGCAAACACATCACACACACACACACACACACACACACCCTCACATCATAGCCCAGTGTTATGGAGAGCTGGCAGATATGCTCCCTAAGCAACCAAGATGTTAACAAGATACCTTCACATCCTACCCCTGAGGAAACTGCTTTGCCAAGGTACAGTCTTCAATGCTAGATTGCCTGCACTGTTTTGCCAGAGAGTTAGGTGAATCAATTGTTCCAATCACTCCAAGGAGCTCTGTGAGCATCTAGTTGGACTAAAAAGGAACAAGGCTCACTCAGTGTCATTTATCCCAAGATGGCACTTCCCTTCTTTTCAACAGCCTTTGAACGGTGAAGTTTCAACTTGACCTTGGAATCAAAGCAGTAGGTTCATTTATTTTCTACAAGCCCTGGTTCCATTTTGGGGTGAGTTTTTAATTCTAACTCGAGGGTGGGTGGGATTCTACCTCTCAAAAGACTTATTAGCTAGAGTGAAGTCTGTTTCATCTAACTCCCTTCTTCAGCAGCATAACACATAGCGTCCAGGCTTTTTTGCTCAGATAGCCAATAGCTAGTAGGCTGCTGGGGGCATCGGCTGCAGGGGGCGGGGTTGCAATCCTTCCCGTGAAAGATCTTAGCAATTTGTGCCTGGAATTTGATGCATTAGTTCTAAAATTAAATAAAGATCCTATAGTGTTCTTCAAAGAAATATGGTGTGGCGCTATGACAAAACACATTTTTCAAGTTCTGACCTCTGGGAACTTCAAGTAGCTTCATATTTCAGGCTGACATCGCTCACAGGCTACTGTCTAGCTGTTCGAGCTGGGACCAGTTATCCATATATATATATATATATATATATATATATATATATATATATATATTCACCACGCTGATCAGGAAGGTGAAAGGAGTAAAGGGGAAATAAAAGAAGAAAGCAAGCTGATTTACAATGATTCCTCCAGCCTTCCCCTCCAGAGTCCCTTGGGGAGAGGGCCTAATAATTAACTCTAATGAGGTTAAAGTAACTTCCAACTCTTTGTTTTGCCAGAACAGTAAAAAAGTCTCTCTCTCTCTCTCTCTCTCTCTCTCTCTCTCTCTCTCTCTCTCTCTCTCTCTCTCTCTCTCTCTCTCTCTCTCTCCTCCCTCCCTCAGTGTGTGTGTAAGTACATGTGTGCATGCTTCATGCACGCATGTATGTTAAATCAGTCAGTGTCTTTTGCTGTAATTTAACACCCTCCATCTCCAGTCCTAGACCGCGGTTGGAGGGGGAACAGGGACCCAGCTTACCCGCACTTTGCTCCATCACTTCTTTCTGACACATGTCTTGAACGTTCACGGTGCAATTTACGATGAACTCGGGGGATGAGCAGTCGTTGTTCAGCTGGAATTCTTCACACTGGTAGCACTGAATTTGCAGCGCTAGCCCTGCGGGACAGATGAGGATGGGTTCAGAAGCTCTACTTAAGATCTGGCTTGCTTAGAGCACAGCCTGGCTGGCGAGTATCGCTGTGTACAGCCCGGCACAACAAGAGCTTTTGGCCTCTGCATCCGAATCTTCAGTAGGGTTGGCAGTGCCTGAAGCCGGCAGGGGGCGGCGGCACCAATTCCCAGGGTCTAGAAGGATAAAGCCCTGTCAGAGAACCCCAAATTCCTCCTCTACACACAAACAGCTCCGATAACACCCACCCCCAGGCCTTTCTGCAAGTCGTTGGAAAGGCAAGGGCGAGAGTTTAAACCCTAGATCAAAGTAGCTGGGTACAAGCTTCATCTCCTGTCTGAGTCTAATTGCTAATTGGTTACAAATTGGTTAATTACTATTTTGGCACCATTCATAATTACATTCACTGGCGCCTTTTCAGTTTTATTTATTTAATCATGGAAGTCAGCATTCGTTCTCTGGGGGCTCTGAGGCTTCCTTGCGACCACCCTGCAACCTGGGAGGAGGCGATGGACGCTAAGTGTCCAGAGCCTCAAGTCCTCCAGCTGGTTCAGCGTCCTCTCTTGTGATCAGTGAGGGAGGCAGCTGCCGAGGGTTGGAGAGTACGTGGTGTGTGGTGTGTTTGTGCGCGGCGCCCTCCCAGAGACCGCTACACTACAGCCCCTTTAGACCTGGTCTCTCCACACCCTCCCCGCTTAAAAAAAGAACATGGCTGTTGGGGAGGTGGGGGAACAAAAAACAAACTCTGATAGCTGAGAGTCTATGATCAGGGACTAGTAGGTTCAGCCTTACCGTATCTTCCCGGTTGCTCTCCTCGGATCTGGGAGCTTCTCTTTGGACTCCATGCCAGCCCTCAAAGTCCCCTTTCTAGCACCCCACGGATCGTACTCAAAGCACAGATAACTCAGCCTGGGAGAGCCGTCCCCCGCCCCCAGCCGCAGGTTGTCCGGTGTGTCGCTCACCTGCCCGCGTTGTTGCTCCCTTGGGTGGTCACAAACACTTGGTAACTTGAGTGAGGTTGGAGGTTTGTAGCCCCTATTCCTCTCTCCCGGCCCAAAGACCCTCCCTACACCCAGCTCTGCAACCCCGACTGTGTACCCCAAGCAGCTGCAGCCTAGAGTCGCGCCAATCTGCTGCTCTCCTGCAGCGCGGGACTTGGAGAGCGTCCCAGTCTGGCGCCTCTGGGTCTCAGTTTCCAGCACCAAACTCCCACTGGGTAGCCCCAGAGCAGCGTGGACCCCAGCTGGGCGCACTGGGGGTAAAGCAGGGACGCTCGGCGAGATGGCATGAGCGTGTCTGGCCAGGCTGCTGGCCTCTTCATCTTCTTACCTGGAAGCCAGAACAATCCGCAAAAAGTTGCTGCGATGCCGAGAACCCACATCCTCCCGGATCGGCAGGACCGGGAGCGGGCAGGAGCATCAGAGACCGCGACTGCAGAGGAGGCGACAGCAGCGGAGGCTGTCCGGGCCGCAGCGACTGTAGCTGCCGAGGCTTGCGCTGCTGCTGCCGCCCAGGCGACGGCTGCCACCGAGAGGAGCCGCAGGTGTCGCCCGCGGCGCCCGCATCGCCCGCGCCCGGGACTCCCAGAGGCTGGTCCCAGGCTCCTCGGCTTCGCGCTCCCTGGGGCGGAGCGCAGCGCCTCTGGAGGAGTTGGCTGCTGAGGCTTGAAGAACTACTGGCGATCCGGAGCACCCAAAAAACTCTCGCCTCTTCTGCCCCCACCCCTCCCACTCCGGGTACCACGTGACGGCTGCTGAGTTGTGGCGGGGGTGGAGGGCGGGGAAGGCTGGGACTATCTCTCTACTGTCCCCACCCCCTTCTGCCACCCTTTTAGCCTACCTCCTCTAGTTCCTCGGAAAAGAGCGTCTGTAGCGGTCGGGAGCAGTCCTTTACAGAGGTTAGGAATACAGAGGCGACTAGGGCGCAGCAGGTGCCACCCGGACTGGACCTGTCTTATGAGAACTCGGAGATCGGAGGGCTTGGCTGGGTGGGCCTGGGCACACTGGGCGAGCCTTCCCTTCCAGGTGTTCTGTTCCCTCCCAGTGCTAACTAGTAGTCCTGCAATTGGGTCTCGCCCACCCTTTCCGGGGTCTTCTATCACCCGCCACCCTCTGAGTGACTGTCTGGGATAGGGTGAAGAGGAATTTCCGTGCACCTGGAAAAGTTGCACAGTCGCAAGTTCCCTGGGGTGTCCGGTGCAGCAGCGCATCTTCCTGGAGAAACCCACAACATAGGTCACCCTGGTCTTCTGGCAGAAAGCCTGCGAGTGCGATGGTGACCCTACCGCAGGTGGCTTGCTTGGCCAGACCATCCTCTCACCGCTGGAGGATGCATTGACACAGCACTGGTCGCCTAGCCCAGAAAATAAGCTACCCTGGTGAGTGGACACTGGGGTCTGTGCTGTCTTTCACTGAAAAGCAAATGGGGCTGCCAGCTCCCCCAAGCCACCAGCTGAGTATGCACTCCTTACAGAGCTCTGCACGCCTAGGACTTGTTCATCGACTGCCTCCCTCTTCCGCCACCCCCCTTTCAGACAATTCCAAGCGACCCACCTTGCATATTCCCGGGACACCGCGGTGCTATTTTTCCTTCCTGGTGGAGATTTGCAGAAGGGTGTGCTGTGCAAAGAGCTGGCAACCGAAGCTCTTAGTGCCCCCGCCCCCAGCCCCGCGCGTTTCCACCCCCACCCCGGATTTGGGAGCCTCAGTGGAAACCAGTGGCTAAGCGTCACCCCTCTCCTGCGGTGCCTCCCGAGGGGAAGTGCTCTCAGGCTAGGCTATGATCATTTATTTCCCCACCCTGCCAGCAGAGCAGGTCTGGAAGAGGCATAAATGACTTTCTTGTAATTCCTCTGCAGAGATCGGTCCATAGCTGCCTCGGGCTTATTCTCCCCCACCCCCTTGCTTTCATTTCCAGCTGGTTAACTCCTTGGGGGAGAAAGGGATGCTTTGACCATCTCTTGTTTGTCTGCAGTGTGATCTTAACAATTGTTCGAATTACTATTACAGGAGCAAAGGGGCCAGCTTATTTATTCCTTCAGGGAAACCTATTCACAGAGCAAGCTCGGGTCGCAATTAAAATTATCACGGGACCAATCACTCCTTGAATAAAGTTCTTTTCTGCTCTTGGAGGGTGTGATAGGGCTTTATTCCGAAATGAAATGAAACAAAAGGATTTCTTTAATCTGAAAGACAAAGATGCTTTACACAATTTTGAAATGAAGATAACAAAATCCAAATACAACAAACTGCACAAACAAAGTACCACTGGTCATACAATACTCTAAAGATACAAGTGTGCTAAGGCAACTGCACAAATTCTAATCACAGCTCTACTCTGCCTGGGCTGCGGACTTCTGTACAGAAGGAATTATAAATAGTTCACGTCTAGAAAAAATACACATCACCTTTAAAATAGAATTTATCCTCACATATAAACAGTCTTTAATAGAAAAAAGGATATTAAAAAGTAGGAAAGTTTCATAGCACCAACCATTAATTTATTTTTATAAAGTGAATATGGCAAATAGAGTACCCAGATTTTAATTAAAAAAAAGAGCAGGGAGATTTAAAAAAAAACTCAGAACTGTAGACAACCACAATCTAGGGGATGGAAGATGCTAAGATTTGCTCCATTCTGCATCCAACAGAAGCACTACCAATGTCATCTCAAGTTAAGTCTTCCTAGTGACAACTGGGAAACTGGACCACTATTCAAATTCTCAGTCAAAACGAGACTTTGAGAAACAGTGATGACCTCAACCCTCTGGCTTTTCTGCAGGCCCCACTTTTAGATCAAAACAGTGTGCACATAAACAGTTTGAGGACCAAGGTGATGAATGTCACAAAACCCTTAGTTGGAGTTTTTAAAAAATATATTATTAACTTCTAAAACTTAATACATCATTTCAAGAGCATGGCGCCAACTCTTTTTATTGCTATCTTTCTCCCCCTACAAATATAATTTCTCTTCCCCCAGAATTTACAGCTTTTATACAAATACTCAAAAAAAGTGCAAAAATTGAGAATTCTCTATCGTATTTTGCTTTTAATTCCCACGAAACACAGTAAGTATCGGCGATCTTTGTCAGTCCACTGGGGGAGTAAACTCTGGTGTGTTGGCTGCTGTCAGTGTGAGTGCCCCATGCATCCCCAGCTCTGGGTCTATTTTCCCAGTGCACCCGTGCTCAGGTCTCACTGAGGTGCTCCCCTAGGCATCATTGGAGCCTTGACTTGCACAAGAGGAGAAACTATCATACAGAGAGTCACTCAGAGACTCCACGTTGTTTTCTCCGCCAGGCCTAGCCGAGTTACTCGATGATGCATCTGTCTTTTTGCCTTTCTCCTCCTTTTGTCCTTTAACCTTGCTTGGATACTTCCCCGTTTCTAATAAAATCACAGTATTGCTGTTAAATTTATTGAACGACTCCAGGGAAATTTCAGATAATCTATTCTCAGGATCTTCTTTTGTTTCTTCAACTTGTTTCAGTTCCTGCAATAAAAAGGAGGAAAATATTAGAAACATAATTCTTTGGAAAAAATCAATTTATCCTATCTGATATTCAATTATTGTCTGAATAAAGTACAGTTTAAAGGGATAGAGGGAACCTACAAGTCCTTAACAATCTTTCAGTGTAATTAAATGCAATAATAAAGCTAATTTTAGGGATAAATCAAGACTTTAATCATTTTACTGAGATAAATAGATCTCAATTTGCAAACCAGTTAAGTGCCACTTAATTCATTTTAAATGGATCCATTTGAAATTTGCTCAGGTAAGGTGTTGTATTTTTCTTTATCAAAAGTTCAAAGCCTTCTGTTTTCTTAATAAATATTCCTTGCACTTTTTCTAAAAGGGATATAGATTGAGTTCTAGCCAGAAGTTACAGTCATTTGGTGGGAAAAAGGGCATAAAATCCCTTAAATTGCCATAAAATTTAAGCACATATTAAGCTTGTTAAGAATATTGTCATGTTTGAATTTTGTCCCTTTTAGGCACTTAAGATATTTGAAGGAGAGCCCCGAGTCATTGGCCTGCAGATTCCAGAAGGGCTAGAGGCATAAAAAACAAGTAATGGTACTACAGTTTAGTAACCCTTTCTTTCCAGAAGGTTCCAGGCATACCAATTTACTCCAGGGATTTACTGGATGTTCTTAATAACCCCCAGGACTTCATAAAATACTGCAGTTATACTAGGCAATCATTGTAGCTCCCCTATAAGCAGGAATATGTTCAGTTGCTCAAGTAGCTATTCGGGCTGTGGTGAGGACCAAGGGAGGGGAGGGAGGCAGGGACATCAGAGGTAAGAAGGTGGCTACACCTCTAAAACACTCTCTAGCAAGAAGTCAAAAGCCTTTTCTATAGCTATTGGGAAACACAATGTACTGCTAGTGAAACTCACTTTTCTAGGAACACAAGATCAGAAACAAATCTGATGGTCACTTGGCTGTGCCTTCCCTGCACAACAGAGAACAACAGTCTCATGTCAGGTTGGCTGAGTGGCTGAGTGTGGGGCTTTTATTCTTTCTGTTGGTTGGACCTATCCCCTAACATTAAAAAAGGACAAAATATCATCATGATTGTTTTTCAATTTTGTTACTCAACTCTTCCATTTCAACGATCTGTCAGACCATTTTGAATACATTCAGATTCGTCTACCACCCAACCCATGCCCCATACATTTATACTGGACTTTCAAATGATGGATGGAGGCAGATAGATGTAGTCAAGACCTGTAGACTCGTAAATGCTACGCATGTACCCTACAGAAAGAAAAGAGTCATGGAAGTGGGTACCTTTGGTGTTCTAAGGCTGGTGCTAAGGGGTTTTCTGTTAGAGTGGGGTCATTTCACGGGAAGATTTGGGCATCTGCCTTGAATTAGTGCTTATTTAATTACTTAGTGCTGAAGTATTACTTGTAGAACTGGTTTTCAATCTTCAACAGTTGCCTGGAAACCATGGTGAGGGGCTGATTCACAGATTTCTAGCTGAGCACAGACAATGATTCCATAATCAGGAAGAACTCAAGCAAGTGCTTTCTTGTGTCCTGCCAAGTTTTAAGCCTTTGATCCCTGCCCCCTAAATTACACAGCACAACATTAACAATGGATGCTGAGTAGGAAATGGCTTGGAGAGAACGGATGTTTACAAAATCTATCACAAAATATAAGCACATATTTACATTCAGGTGATTAAAGAGCCTTCAGTACAATTTCTCATCACCTGGACATGTTTGTTGCATTTTTCTCAACTGTATCTGGTCTATGTGAATTTCAGAGTCACTCAACGAAAACTCACCAGAATAGCTACTCCAAAGCAGATGGAGGGTTTGGATGCTATGACTACATGGTGAAGCAGGTTAATTAGAGGCCCTGGAGGGAGGCAACCTGGGCTTCTGTGTCAGCTAGACCATTTTCCTGGCTGTGAGTGCCATGCACACCCTTCTTCAGGTGTGAATGCTGACTGATCAGCCTTATTTAGGCACCGAGGAAAATCTAGACACAGCACCTTGCAGCCCTAGCCACACAGCAGCTGTTTCTTGCACATTTTCTTCAGTGGCACAGTGGATGGTAAGTGCTGCTTTAAATGCATCATCTCCCTGTGTCTGTGAACAATCTAAGGAAACTCATTAGGACACCACACACACACACACACACACACACACACACACACGTACACACACCATACTTAAACACATGCACACACACCACACATATACACACTATACACACACACCACACCATACTTAAACACATGCACACACACCACACATACACACACTATACACACACATGTACACACCACCCACACATGCACACTCACTACACACACATGCACATACACATCACCCCCCACACACACACACACATACAGATTATCAGTCCATGACAGTGGTTCTCACAGTTCACTTTCCAGACTAGCAGCAACCACTGGAACACCAAGGAGCTTGTTGGAAATGCAGTTTCATGGTGTTCACCCAGACCTGCTACTTCAGAATTCTGGGACCTTGCCACCTGTCCTAAACAAGCTCAAGCTCACAGTGTGATTCTGACACATGCTTAGTAAACAATATATACATGTACTGACTGGTTTTATGTCAACTTGACACAAGCTAGAGCTATGAGGGAGCCTCAATTGAGAAAAACGCCTCCATAAGATCAAGCTGTAAGCAAACCTGTAGGGCATTTTCTTAATTAGTGATTGATGTGGGAGGGCCCAGCCCATTGTGGGTGGTGCCATCCCTGGTCTGGTGGTCCTGGGTTCTGTAAAAAAGCAGGCTGAGCAAGTCAGTAAACAGCACCCCTTTATGGCCTTTGCATCAGCTCTTGCCTCTAGGTTCCTGCCCTGTGTGAGTTCCTGTTCTGGTTTCCTTCAATGAAGAACAGTGATATGGAAGTGTAAGCTGAATAAACCTGTTCCTCCCCAACTTGATTTTGTCACAGTGTTTTATCACAGCAATAGTAACCCTGGCTGAGACGATACAAATATGAAAACTTTAAAATAAAGCTGGAGAGATGGCTCAGCCGTTAAAAGCTAGGCTTAAAACCAAAAATAAAATAAAAGACTGGCAAGAAGAAACAAGCTGTGTGTGTGTGTGTGTGTGTGTGTGTGTGTGTGTGTGTGTGTGTGTGTGTCTATCATCTATCTCTAG